CTAATACAACCTCATTTATTTGTGAGATTGATGCTTTTCTGAACGTTGCCCTGTATTGTGACGAAGAGCAAATTTTCGATATACAAGTCGAACCCGACACCACAATTAACTATTGCGGCTAAGATCCAAAAAATAACAAATATTTGCGATGCCATTTGTTGAGATATTCGGGATTTAACGGAGTCGTTTTAATTGTTTCATATCATCAGTGGAAACGACTTTGTGATGTCTAGCTCTTTATATTGAGCTAATGTTTGGAAATAAAAAACAACAATATTGACATAGATATATAGATACATGGACCTGTTCAAATATTAGAAAAATTCAGATATTTCATATATTATGTCATCCGATTCCAGCGGCCACAGTTGTTGGGTTTTAATTCTTAGTGATAGATCAATTGTACAAAGATTAAACCAGCACCGACCTATCGAAATTAGAATCAGAGTTGAAATTCAAACGGTTATAGAACAAAACTAAGTTATATTAAGTCTGGCCGGAGTTTTTCTTACTGTAACGTATTTTTATTACCTTGAATTCGGCACCCACTAATAGCCATGTTATATAAGGTATTTCGGTTAAAACTTTAATCAATTTCTCGGCCTCAAGGGTAACACAGTCTCTTATTTCAGACTATACTTTTACCAAACAGTTTATAGCTTTGACCCCCCATTCCGCATTTTTAATTAACCCATGCATCCGCCCGTTCCCACACTATCGGGATTTCAAATTTATTTTAAATGGAACTTTACATTTAATTTACATTTAAACGTTTCTGAACTCGTAGGTTTAAATTCAACAATCGATGAGAACAAGATTAATAATGGTAATTTGCATGGGTATTGCATATCGTAGCGAAGTATTTGATAATATCCTGCCATGAGACGATGCAATTTGATAGACGAAAGAAAATGTTCATGGATGGGTTAATTTTGTTGAAAATTCTTTGCCAATTTTTGTGGTCTTAATTTCTTTTTTGATAGTTAAACAAGTATGTCATAAAACAATCCATTTTTGCTGAAATTGCATAAAATACCCCCCCCCCCCCCAAAAAAAATGAATAAATAAAAAGAAGTAACAAAACAAAAAAAAACCAAAAAAAAAAAACCAATAAAAAACTTTTATTATAGTAAAAACACCTTCATTATAAAAGAGAAACAAAACATTTTCACATCATCGGTATTGATCATTTAAAATATTAGTAATACAAACGAAATTTCAAATATTATATTAATACAAACGAACTTATAGTGCAATGTCAAATTGTGACCAACTAGGCATCTGTTGCTGAATTTTAACCGCCTATAAATCGTTAGAAACATAAAGATACATCATGCAAGAGCTCAATCTGCCCATTACAGATTTTTTTTTCTGGTTTCAAATGTTATATAAATTTTATGGGGAATGTATGGCTGAATGGTTAGCGCGTGCGTGCTGTATCATAAGGTATGTCATTGAGTCAACTGGCGTGCTTTCGATTCCCTGGTCGTACATGACAAGGAGTAGGGTCGCCTGTCCAACCTAGTCTGTTTTCTCCGAGTTCCCCGGTTTCCTCCCATTGCTAAAGACCCCTACGCTCAAGCGAATTATTGAAATAAAATTGAACCATATGTTAGTTCCGAAATGACCTCGTTTGTGACGAGTGGACGTGAGACCACATTTCTCTCTCCCGTTATATAAATTAATATTTAGACATTTATTCACATGGAAAGCCCATTATAAATTCGCTAGGCCATCGGGTGGCCAAGGTAGTGAAAGGGTTAGAATATCCTCGCCATATAATAATTTAATGTTTAATAAAATTGATAATCGAGGCTTTGTTCATTACCGTATCAATGGTACTTGACAATCGAGACCAATTACGCTTTATCTTGTCAACACTTCAAACACTCATTACTTCGTTCAGAATAAATTAATTTGACTTAAATCTTCAATATATTAATTTTTCATTATCTATGTTTGTACCATTATAACAGAAACGACCAGTCCTTTGTCTAAGTCTTACATACTGAATATGTTATACGTTTTCGCTTAAAATGAAGCAATTTGACTTAAATTCAATGTATTAAATTAAATTAAATTCAATTAAATTTTTCTATATCTATTTTTGAACTATTATAATAGGAACGACCAGTCCTTTATCTAAATATTAATTAAAGCATCTAGTGTTTTGGCATTTAGTCTCATCATTCAAAATGATGTGGTGTGATATTATAATAAACCAGATGACAGAAAATCTACTTGCAGCTGCGTGACTGAAGATCCATACATATAAAAATACTTATTCATATTTCTTATAATTTATAAATGACAATAATCGATAATACGTAACCGGAGACTTTTAGTATAATTTACTCAGTGTATAGATGTACATGTGAAAAAGCTTAATATCATTCTGATACGTTCTAATGTATGTTATTAGCGCTGTGATTAAATCTGACTGCTTGAAAGGGTTTTTCAACGTTGAGCCATGGCTGGTTAAAGGGTATTGAGTGATAGTTCTAAACGAAACCATTTAAACCATTGTCTTGGGTAAATCCGCGTGACTTGGTCGGCGAAATATTTGACGTAATATCACAAAAAGAACGTAGGATATTCCATTTCATATTAAATTATATTTGGATCCCGTTTTTGCCAATAAAATCCAAAAATATGTTAGGCGTACATGCCCACGCAGATACCCACGCAGAGAGGGGGTGGGGGTAAAGTTAACTCAACCATACATTAGGTAATTTCCGGACTAACATAGTGGTACAATTTTATTTTAACAATTCGCTTGTGCGTAGGGACCGTTATCACTGGGAGGAAACCGAGGGAACCCTTGAGCTCCTGCATGGAAGCAAATTATTGAAATAAAGATATACCCTTTGCTAGTCTCTTAATGGCCCAGTTCGTGCTGAGCGGTTGCTAAACCTCCACAATAAAATCAAAGGATTAATATAATATTTATTATACTGGAAACTATATTATCAATATTCACTGGAATATTATAACAGACGCACACTTTAATGCCGTGTCAATTATACAACGCAGCTGGCTGGAAGAACAAAAGGTAGATGTTAATTTAATATACAAGACAGATGGATCCCTTGATCCTGTGTTAGATATACAGTTCTCAAGAGGTATCTAACGCTGTTCAAATCTTTTGATATATATATATCAGTATGCAGGATTAATATGCCATTACTAGATTTATATCACATCTCATTATTCATAGTATGAAGAACTATGCTGATTTAATAGACATAATTATACGACCCATATAATACTTGTCACAAATTACCATTGTCTTATTTAACTCATCTCTACATTAACACATGAGTACTATAAATATTGTTACATTAAGCTATTTGGGGGTGTCCTAAACATCATCGGTGGTGCCATCATATTCTGGAAGGAATGCACATTGGTTACATCAGATTGTTTTCATTTGTCTAATAGGTTTGCGTACTAAGCCGAGATATTTTGAGCGAAACAAACCGAAACGGAAATCTTGCATCGAACCGAGTATGATAATTTTTCAAGAACACGTGATACGGCTTCTCATTGTCGAGTCCACATGTCTTGAACCATGTTTCCGACAATCTATGCCCCTGTCTATTAGAATGATATGGTATTAAATATAATTCATTGCATGGGACAGGATATAATAACCTTTCTAGAATACCTGGTACTAGAAAAGTAGTCAATGACTTCAACCACATGCGCATGTGCTAACCATTCGGCCATCCACCCCCCGGGTGATCTCGAAGACAAGAAAATAAATCATGGTATTACTGCTGTATTATATATTGTGTGCTTTAGATCACAAGGCCTGTCATTGAGCCAAATGGTGTGGTTTCGATTCTTGCACGTGACAAGGAGTAGGGTCGCCTGTCCACCTCGTGTGTTTTCTCCGTGACCCCCGGTTTCCTCCTCTGTTAAAGACAGAAATGACCTAGTTTGTGTCGAATGGACGTTAAACCCCATTTCTCTTTATTTCTTTATGTGTACTGTAGTATACACATGACATGGCTATCCATTTATAACACGCTAAAACGGACGCTTTATTTCTGTTCTCTCTAAAAGGGATAATGGCTTCGTATATCTTCAAGAACTTCGTAAGCTAAAGCATTTAATATTACAATTATATTCAGTGGTTTTCTTATAGTTGACGGGCGTCTTTTAAACTAGAAAACTAATTATTGCTTTATTGATCAACAACAAAGAAACGCACCCACGACATTAATAAACCTACATGTATAAATACCAAACTTTATTTTGTAATTGTACTAAACATAATATGCAAAACGTTGGTTGGTTTATTTACGGGTCTACCGGTCCCCCCACCCCAACTGATAAATATCCTTACGCGAAATGGCCTAGTTTATGTCGAGTGGACTTTAGCCCCCCCCCTCCGTCTCGTCGAAAGAGCATTTAAGGACATTCAGGCTATACAATCCCAAAAATGTGACTCGGACCGATATGTTATAATCATTGAGCCTGGCAATAAACAACCAGATTCGATCATAAAGTATACATATGATTTTTTTTTATTGTTTAACATTAATCATGCGTTTATTAAAATCAAGACACAATGCATCAAATATGAATAAAACAGTTTGCCAGGTGGTTCTTATAAGGTATACAACACGTTGTATGCTTCGGATATTATCAATTAATCAGTATAAAGTCACCGCCGCATGATCATTCCACTTCGGTAATGATATTGAATACTAGAATAATTCAGGGCTTCAATGGATTTTAAAATTCTTATCGTATCTCACTCTCAGGGCTAACGCTTTAATATATGTATATATAATATATATATAATCGTAGTATAATAGAGCATTGAATGGTAATACATTTTTGCTACGCTTTCAACTGTATATATACTTGTATTGAGTCTTTCTTTCAATGTGGATATCCTAGGCTACTGAATAATACTGTTATCTATTGGTTTAGAATGGATTTCTGATTCAGTTGTATACGAACTTTGATTGGATATGCATATGTGTATATTGGATTACTATAAAACGTGTTTAATTCCATAAGTCAGTTTAAGAGTTGTGTTTGTCAGGGTCGAGTAGGTGTATATTGAAGAAAACACACTAGTGGTGTCAGTCGTAAAATTGAAAGAAGAGCACATGTCAGTCAAACTGTTACTATTGTTTATAATAGGAAGTGGTTGATAGCGACATAGATGTATGAGGTAGTGAAGAAAATTTGAAATCTGATATTTGGAATTATTTTTTTAAAAGGCTTATAACAGTTACCTAACACAAGTTGTGCAACTTATATTTCAGCTTCTGTTTGAAAGGTGTGATTGCGTGAAGACGTTCATTACGATGTTTTAGGACTGTCAAAAATATCTGGGAGAAGGAATATTACCTGTATTGTGATATCTGTTTCACAAGTAACTCGAATGGTACATAGTAACTGGACTTGAACATGTAATATGAAGAACGAAACATGTCGATGGATTGTGTAAGCTTATTGCTTTTTGTGTAAATCATCACAGAAATGTCGACCTTTGGACGACTTAAAATGATTTGGAAACTATACCTAACTTTGTTGTTTTTTACGATTTTGACATCCTTAAGTACCGTGGAAACCCGCGAAGATATCAAAATCGGCGTCATACTTCCTATGAGTACAGAAGATTTATGGATTTTACCTAAAACAAGCCCAGCCATAGACATTGCCGTTAAAAAGGTGATGAAAAATGAAAACCTATTGCGAGGTCGTAAAATACTAGTAACATATGAAGATTCTAAATGTGATGAGACAGAAGGTCCATTAAGAGCTATAGACATGTATGTTAAGAAATCTGCTCATGTATTCCTTGGTAAGATTCTAGTTTTATTTACTCTAGCAACCATAAGTTCGTCGAGTTAGTTGGTAGGAATATTTGGCAATGTAAGAAATTTTAATCCTAATTAATAAAGCTACTCCATTTATTATGAAGTATGATAGTCCACTTCTTTGTAAATTGTAAAGTCCTGAATATTGAGTAAAATCGTCCAGCTCTATGTTTTGTGATAAATGGTCACGTATATATAGAATTATATACCAGTAGGGTTGGGTATGTGTTTGGTTGTTCCTTTGTCAAATATTTTTTTTCTCCATTCTACCTAGGTCCAGCATGTAATTATGCGGTGGCTCCCGTAGCCCGATTTTCGTATAGTTGGAATATTCCTGTCATAAGCGCTGGTGCTCTCGTCAGTGCCTTTGAAGACAAATCAGAATACAAACTTTTAACACGTATTATGGGCTCTTATGCCAAATTAGGACATTTTGTGGAAGAAGCATTTGATATGTTTGATTGGTCTGTGGTTGGATTATTGTATAGCAGCAAGAAAGGACCGAACGATGGACGATCTTCGTGTTATTTTGCCGTGGAACCCCTCTTTCACGCCATGACCCGAAAGACAAATCAGAAACCGTGGCACGAAAGCTTCGACGAAGAGGACAAAAAATTACTGGATTACGGAAAGCTTCTAACGAAAGCTTCAAAACACACACGAAGTAAGTAAATTACTATGTATGTTAGAAAATGCGTGACTCTCATTCACTTACAAACACAATAATCCAGAATAAATACTTATCAAAAATCATAATGGTCTACAATTACTATAGTGGACCTGTTATAAGGGAACCGGTCGGAGCCAGGGTGGTTAAGTAGCTAAGACGCTGGCTCGCTAGTCTGGAAGTCGCGGGTTCGATCCCGGTGTTGGCCGAGAAAGTTCATCGGGATTTTCCCGCGTGGTTTCCTCCTTGTCAGTGGTGCAGGACGGAGGACCTGACAAGAACAGCTGTCTAGTCGTTCAGATGGGACGAAAAAGCAAGGTCCCGTGTACACATCGCATTCGCCCTGATACTAATAATACGTTTACAATAGTTCGCTTATTTGTACTGTGGACGCTGGGTGTAGTAATGAACATATAGGATCGATAGTACTATATTTTAATTATTGAATTATTACAAATATTTGAAATATTCAACTTGTATAAGGTAAAAACTAAACCAAAGAGATCTATATCTTTCAACACCTTTCTTTACATACCACTGTGTACGGATAGTAATATTTTAAGTACAATTACATGTGTAATCAATAAGTGCTATATGTCAGGTTTGCGTATGATGTCACAACATTCTGAAATCCCTCATTACCCGTTGGTTCAGTCTGAACCATAGTTTCGTATTTTCGAGTTGGCCTGAACTATATGGCAACCTTTCTAGTCCTGTATGTCTAAAATCCACCTGTATTATCTTATACAGTTCACCAGGGTCGGTATCCGCGGGTTTGTCTATAATAATCAGACTTTTCAATGATAATTTATTTTGCTTCCAAAAGAACGGCCTTTTATCTTTTAAAAATAATCTATTGCTTAACAAAAGAAAATCTAATTTAAAAAATACAGTGCTTACTCTTTCCATGAACATCTGATACAGCTTCACTACTGGATATTATTATTTTGATAATTTTCCATTTAGGAAGAAGACCACTAACTACTATTTACTGTATTGGTAAGTGCAGGGGGACTGCACCACACAAAATTTACACAAAAACAATTACACGGACAGGGCATCATACTCAGGAAAGCACAAACATACAGACAATTCAAACAAGTGAATGGATCCGGGGGCTAGCCGTAAGCGTCCACTGCGCTGTATACAGTTCCGGGTCTGTAGTGACACAGACTTCACTCAAATTTGAAAACAACTAGGAATACAACCCAAAGAACCCATTGTATAATGCAAGCATGAGTCACGATCTGCTATATGCTACACGAAATACGAATGTAAGCACATGTAGTAAAATTCAACTATACAAGTAACCACACCAGTGAAATGTATAAATAGGTAGTCTAAACTCTAAATTCAATCAAGAAACGCTTCAGTATTCAATACATATAGGGTACATGTTCCATCGTCACAAAAACAAAACTGAATACAAAGAAGCAAATAGGAAATATCCGTATTACTGTTTACCTGTAACTGTTTACCTAGTCTATGTTTTAACAGAAATAACCATTTAGATCGGCAAAGGTAATACTATCGACAAGTGCATAGATTTATTCTACTAGAAGTAATTAAATACACCTGGGCATAATTCAACCCTATTAATAATTTGCTGTGAGTGACAGATCTGTGAATTAACAGCTTGTAGTCAAATATCAACTGACTCAAATTTCAGCTCTTTACAGATCATCAGGGTTTTCAATAGATTTTAAAGCTTAGGTATTCTCTTTTATAACTAAAGAAGAAAAAATCAAATTTTCCTTGTGGTCGATATATGAACTGTATGATAAGCAACAGTTAACAAGTTTTTATGGCTACTCATTTATATTTAATAAGACCATGGACTTTCATGTATCTTTACTGCTGTCTTTATTCTGTATAACCACGATTCATTGAGAACATTAATCGTTTATGAAAGGTATAAACGATATAACACAATGGTTATCAATAATTGAAAGTTCGACACAATACTTATAGCTGTGTATGTATAGATACGTTTTGAATAACTTATATACAATTATAACGGCTATGAATTGATTATTTGTAACTGGTTATAAAGGAATTTGGGTGGTTGAAATCAGGTGATTGTAACGTACATATACTTCTTAGTAAACTGTAGATGGAATTGTAATACAATAAAACAATGTGCCACGTGTCTCAGTACCTGTGTACACAGAAATAATAAAATAGTTGGTACTCATAAGATAGTTGCCACTTCAAGTAATGGACCCTCTTACCTTTAGTGGTGTAAACTAATTAATAGACTACATTTGAATGAGCATGTTTAGACTCCTGGGTGTAAACTAATAAGTGAATTTAGCAAGTTTACATTTTTATTGAAAGAATTATTACCTTCAATCATTTTCAGTATGTTTTCATGATATATAAGAATGGCTTCGCATTCACTTTCAGTGCAAATGACCCCATTTGACCTTTTATCCCCAATATCTCGAAAACGCCCCAACGGCGGACTGATTACCACTCGGCATCGTATTCTACCCCCCCCCCCCCCCGCATTGAGCCTCCGGTCTGTAAGCATGCATTACACCTAACTAAAGGAGTTTAACAATTTACACTTTCTTATTTCTATACTCCAAGTTGGTGTAAACATTTTTTCGAAACACTGTTGTACACTTAGTCAATAACTAAGGCCAGAAGACGTTGAAATAGTGAACTATAGGCCTGTATGATGATAAGTATATAATGCGTTTACACCGATACAGATCACATATTGACCATTGGAATGGCTAATTGACCTGATTCTACAACAGCAATAAATTTTACAAATATTCAACGGGCTGTTTAAAATTTAACTGAATCTACAATTGATATACATAAACATACAAGTTGTATAATGTTTATAAGTGGTTTAATAAGATATAGTATGCGATACTGTCTTGGAACATTAACACTTCTTGTAAAACACGCTTAAATAAGTTATACTTTACACCAAACGTAGTGGAACTCAACATACGGTGTAAAAATGGCACTGTTTTGAAAATGTTTCCCCATTAATAATTACACCTTGTTGGTTTAAATGCTTTACAACACTCGTAGAGGTGAAATCCCACCACAAACACCCATTAACATCTACAATTACACCCAGGGCCATGAATATCGTTTTGGGTGTAGCTCATTAAAATTTGTGAATGAGTTAAATTTGTAAAACGCAAGCTCTGGTATGATGTTTTCACCACTCTTAGTTTTTGAATGCACCCATTTATTATTATATCTAGGCTTATTATAATATGTACCCCAGTCAATAACAACGGCTGTAGAAGTCAATCGAAAAATTGAGGTTTCGGTGACATTTATACGATTTTAATAGAAGGATATTTCATTCACAGTGTCATTTAGGTATAATGATAATAATAATATAATAATAATAATAACTTTATTTGGGAAGGATAAAGGATTAGGCTGCAGAAGCATTTTTACCATCCTGCCCTTCATGAAAAGTACAATACAAAAGATAATAGCGCAACAATTAGAACTAGAACAGTGCACAATGGGTTTAAAATATACATGATAGAATTATAATACAAAAGATGACAAAATGTACGATTAATGCAAATGGCATTTATTGAAACCTTTTAACATATCTAGATGTTAACCCGGTTGAATGGACGTAAAGAGAGAAAATGCTTTTTTCGAAATCTGATACATGTGAAAATAATTATGTATATTTATAACAATAACACGCGTATGAGTTGAGAAGGTGGATAATGTAATATCAGTTTAGTAAACTTCATTGCATAATATTTCAGCTGTAGGCTTGTATTACTATTATTTCAACACAGGGTTACCAGTCAGTTGGGTGATTGAGTTCGGCGATGCCTAGTTGCAAACTCCTTGATTCCATGTCCCAATATAGGACGTCCTACTGAGAATATGAGAAACGACGACATTTTAAATCAAAACAGAAGAAATAAATGTTTTATTCGAATTAAGTGGGGCAGCTGTTAAAAGCGATAATTTCAAATTCCATTGTTACCGGTACAATTATGTATGCTGTAGGCATGGTCGACATATTATAATAAATTTAACCCGTGACAGGTAAACGATCGGTTGTATACCTATTTATTGTTAGGACTATTCTCATTCTATACAAATATCATCATAAAACCTTTTTCCAGTATACAAAGAAATCGTGTATAGGTTTAAACATGTTCACTGAATGATTCGTAATCTTCATAATCATTAGGTAAAAGTCACTGATATTTATAAGTAACAATATATAGGCACAAATATAAAATGTTTCGGACCGGTACCCGATATAGAATGTTTCGGAATGATTATGGAATTCTGGTCTTTTTCACTTCTGTGCTATGCATGGGTAAAACCAACGAGGATGTTAAAATTGGTGTGATACTTCCCATGACCATGAGTACACAAGAATTGTGGATTTTGCCTAAAACCAGACCAGCTATAGCCATTGCAGTTGAAAAGGTGGAAGCGATGGAAAACTTATTGCGAGGTCGTAAAATACTAGTAACATATGAAGATTCTAAATGTGATGAGACAGAAGGTCCATTAAAAGCTATAGACATGTATGTTAAGAAATCTGCTCATGTATTCCTTGGTAAGATTCTAGATTTATTATCAAAGCAAGCAATGTATCATTTCTGCGGGTCGATCAAATTTCTTTGAAAATGTAAGACATTTATTGTCTAATTCAACAAGACCCACTAACTGTAAGATATAATCATTGGCTTAGTAGGTAGGTTTTAACGTCAATTCCAGTTCTGTCGACCTATTATTGATATAGTATTTAATAAACTTTCAATTTTACCATCATCGAACTGCATATATCGTCTGAAAATATTTGTGTTTGTTCATAACTTATGACTTGTAACGTAATCATGGCCGTGATATGTGTTACTTCAATTGTTGTGTATAATTTTCTTATTTCAAAATAGGTCCGGCTTGTGAATATGCAGTGGCTCCAGTAGCCAGATTTTCATATAGTTGGAATATTCCTGTCATAAGCGCCGGTGCTCTCGTTGATGCCTTTGAGGACAAATCAGAATACAAACTTTTAACACGTATCATGGGCTCTTATGCCAAATTAGGACATTTTGTTAGGCGGACTCTACAAGAATTCAACTGGTCCAGTGTTGGTTTAGTGTATCAGGACAAACACGGTGCCAATGCTGGAAGGTCACCTTGTTATTTTGCTCTGGAAGCTATATTCAATGCTTTAAAGATTGGGAAATATGAGAAGCCATGGCATGCAAGCTTTCAAGAGAAAAATCCAAAACTTGGTCATGGGGACATTTTACAAAGAGCTTCAAAAAACACACGAAGTAAGTAAAATAACAAATATAACAAATTAAAATAAATTTGTATCATAGTCTGCAAGAAAAGATCTGTACGGCTATAATCGAATGAATGAATGGCATGGGGTTTGAGGTGATATGATGGAAATTGGATTCCAGTTGTCTAGGGTTTCTTTTACGCACACTTCAACATGTACACGGGACCCCGGTCTTTCGTCCCATCCGAAATACTAGATGCTGTTCCTTGCCAGTGTCCCCCACCCTCGGCCCTACACCACTAACAAGAGGAAACATGCAGGAAAATTCCGGGTAAATATCTCAGCCAACACTGGCATCGACACTTTGATTGTCATTGCGGATCTAATGGGAACACACTAAAGCAAAGATACGCTAAACAGTAAATCTTATGCAAGAATCGATAGGAAAGCAAACATGGATAGATAAACGAGCACGCGTTAGTTTTCATCAACCATTCCTTGAAGTGTCAAATTTGACAATGAACCCCTCCCACGTGTATGGCGCCATTGCGTGTCGTACGTGCAGCTCAGTGGTTCTATTGGGGCGATAAGTTCTTCATCTGTGAACATACTCTCAAAGTATGTCAAGTGTCCATGACTATGTATCATATATTACAACCTGCATAAGTATTTGCATTTCAATATCCCCTACTTTATTTGAAGAGTATAGTTTTGACCTGAGATAAGAATTTGGCAGAAACACACATATTTTTTCATACGGTAATAGTCAGTCTAGAAAAATATGGTATGTATTAGAATGTGTCTCCTGATGATATCCACAATAAGGCGATAATCATTAATTTCAGCATAACTGTACCAAATACAAAATAAATAGCATCATTAAATTGCCTGTAAAACCCCTGGTGATTATGCTGTTATTTAAAATGGACTTGTGGTCATTTGGAGGTGTTGGCGGCCATTTTTGACATAATAGGCCAACATCATTTTTAATGATATAATGTGTTCTTTACTCCCAAAAACCTAGGGAAAGACACCAAGATCATCAAATTTGAGTTGATAGTTACATAGTTATGATCATTTTAAGACGTTTCGGTGGCCATTTTTGACGCCATCTTGAAAAAGGTTTCTCCGCTGATTCTGGTAGGGTTTAGTGTACTTTATAACATACTAAAAGTTTACCAAAGTACACTAAACCCTACCAGAATCAGCTGAGAAACCTTTTGTAGCAATTTTTGGGGGGTGGGGGGATATTTTCCATATATTGACCTGACTATTAATGAAATGGGCTTTAAAATATATTTTTATTCACCAACCGGGTTCTTTGACGTATACGACAGTGTGCACACGGGACCTCGGGTTTTCGAGTAACTTTCTCGGGCAACACTGGTATCGAACACATGGCGCCTGAAACTAGATATAATTCTGAAATGTTAACAGTTTGTTCTATACATTCTCCTGGTCATATTCTCAGAAATTCATTACCAAAGCATTTGAGTCCCCTGTATTGTTTATATCTAAATTTATACTTTATGCTAGGTTCCCACTTTCACGATTCGCTCTACGAATCAAATTGTGGTTTTAATTGTGGAGTAATCCTGGGTATCCTATCAAGTCTTATATATTGTGGTCGGTCGTAGCAATCATGCTGATCGTATCGAAGCGTATCCGAACGTATCTGCACGTACCTAGAATCAATAGTGA